GAATGCTTAATTTTTAGTTCAATTGAAGACGATATCGCGAAGAATAGTCTTAATAAGTAGCTGTATTGGCTGAATATTTTAAAATGTAAATTTTCACCTTCAAAAACCTATTTCTTCATGGAACTATTCTTACTTATAATTTTTTCAATAATTAATTTAAAGCTTCAATTTATGATGAAAAATTGTGTGTGCAACATGCTACAAATGTGGGGTGTGCGATAGACTTACCTCCTCGTGGTGCACCCTGGGCAACGTATACTCATACTGCAAAAAGTCTATAAACTGGCAGTTGACTTCTGACTTCAAGCTACCATCAACCCACTCGATGTCACATTCGACTACTTTCACAGTACTCACCTCACCTTTTTTCTACCTTTGTGTTTGTCTCTTACATCTTTGAAACACTCTTCTCTTCCCTCCCCCTCGCGACTTTTTCACTCTGATGTTCCTTCCCCTCTGTGAAGCCTGAAGTCAACTAAAGGGCTAATGATAACCATCAAAACGCCTGCCATTTGATATAAATAAATAAATAAATACCAAAAATGTATGCCTCAAACGTTTAGTGGATTGCTACAGGAATAAGTCAGAACTTACCCTCAGTAATAGCCTAGAATGGGTATGTAGCGGAATGCTCCACTAGTAAAGCCTTGGCCGACTCAGAGCTCTCTCTATGGCAATATCTCCCATATCTGGCTAAACTCCACGAACTATCTGAGCTACATCGAAGCTAGGGTGGGAAAGTGTCGTATTACACAGAACACATTCATTGCAAATTATGATATTGGCAAATGCGAATAGTTATCAAATAAATCTAACATAATTTGAGTGAACAATAGTAGCTAAATATCTGATCAGAGCTCTGCGTGTATTGCCGCACACTCAAAATCCTGGCGTGTCACACAGATAGGCTCCCGAAATGAGTTAAACAAACTCAGTTATATGGAAGAAGCAGACGTATAACAAGTATAGCTTTTATGGCAATTATGCACACTGCCAATATGATTAGTAGTTGAGTACATTAAACATTACTTGAGTGAGCATTAATAACTGGCTAGCTGTGAAGTCCTCTGCACGCATAACTTCACCCTCCCAAATGCTTGAGTGCACGAGCGATTGCTTAGTTTACTCCACACACACTTTCATGTCGAACATTTTGCCAATTTTCTAGCTAATAATTCCTTATGTGAATATTTACCTTTCTCCTTCCTCACGTCAATTAATTTCATCAAAATTGTCGGAACAGTCGCATCAGCTTCTTAAGACTACTCCATCCACAAAGGCCCACTCAATTTTTCCAAGGAAAAAATTAGTATTTCTATCAAAATATTTACTTATTTATATCAAATAGCAGGCATTTTGATAGTTATCATTAGTCCTTTAGTTGACATCATGCTTCACGGAGAGGAAGGGACATCAAAGTGAAAAAGTCGAGAGTGGGAGGGGGGAAACAGAAGATTATTTCAAAGATGTAAAAGAGACAGACGCAAAAGTACAAAAGGTGAGGTGAGCACTGTGAAAGTAGTCGAATATGACATACAATGGGGTCATGGTAGTCTGAAGTCAGAAGTCAACTGTCGTTTGATAGACTTTTTTACAGTATGAGTATACGTTGCCCAGGGTGCACCACGTGGAGGTAAGTCTATCACACACTCTGCATTTCTTTCAAAATATTAATAATGGTTTAGAAGATAATTAATAAATAAAGGCAATTGACGTCCAATACTCTACAATGATAAATATACACTACTTGAAATCAATCAGTAGAGGTCAAATTGAAGGGGAAATTAGAGGGATGGCGGGGGGGGGGGGGGGGGGAGAGCTATAACGCATCAATAAAATTTTTTATTTACTGATATCATGGCGGATTCGAAATAAAGCGGAATGAAGATGTTAGTCTTGAAAATATTGTTTCCTCAATATTTCATCAGGATATGATAATCGAAATATATACGAGCAAATAATGCTGTTTGTTTAAGTTCACTGTGTTATTTATGTTGCGTAGTTAGAAAAGTAATCACTTGTTCCTCCTGATGTACAAACAGGCTGCTATAAAAAAAAATAAATTAATAGTTAAAACTATTAAGGCTATCTAATAGTTGAATAACTAAATAGATGAAGTTTTAAATTAATACATTCATTATAACGAACAAGTGGTTTCTAAAACATGCGTGCTTGAATTAACACTTCGACCATATAAATGCCAAAATAATAGTAACCAGAAGGCGAAATAGGGCATTGTTGTGAAGAGGACGGACAACATTGATTGGATGCGGTTGACTTGATATGAAACATTCAAGTTACTTCCAGGGCATTCTTCATTGGTTCATTGTCTGGCTAATCATACCTTACGTTGAGACTCAATGCCCTTCAATGGTTTGGTTAATAATCTTCGTCCGACCACTGCCCAATTCAAAGACTTCTCTACTCACTTTTGGGTCTGACCAATGGTCATTACTACAAGTAAAGACACAATCATTTCCATATTTCAACTAGCCACTCAATGCACACCACATATCACTAAATTCACTTAGCATCAACATACTACTTGCATCAAGGATTAAAGACACGAAGTCAATTTTTCCGAAGAAATGTGTAATGTGATTGTGGCTATCTAGTCTCGAATTAATAAATATATCTTAAATGGAAAATGCTAGTTGACTCTGCATTATTAAGTTTTCATATGATTATTTATTGGGAACGCTATATGCTATTCTAAATCTGGATTTAATAGCCATGGCAAGATAACTATGATTACTACATTTTTAATGCCAATGATAAATAGATATACACATGATTTGTAAGGATATTTTAAAAATTAACTTAACTATGCGATTATTAGTGAGACGAACCTAATAAACGTCATGTTGTAAAGACTCTCTTTTTTCATTTATTACTAGTTTTATAGGCAAATCTGTATTACCGTTTTGTTAAACAGAATTGGGCTTTGAGAAGGTTGTGGGACAGGCCAGGATTTGGAGCATGCGTCCGTACCCGTAGAGCTCCGCTCCGATCTTTTGTCGTTAATGTTTACAAAAATTATGTTACATTTATATGATAACTATTCGCGTTAGCCAATATCTTAATTTGCAATAAACGTATCGTGTATAATACAACTATTTCCTCCCTAGCTTCGCTGTAGCTTAGCTAGTCTAGTCTGATATAGGAGATCCTGTCATAGAGAGATATCTAAGTCGGTCAAGGCTTTTCCAGTGTGGCGATCCGTTACAAGGTGATTTCCTAAAGTACATCAAAAGTGGAAAGGAAAATGTTCCTTTTAAAATAGATTCCACCGCTTTCTCATTCCAGTCTAAGTAAGTTTTGGAAGTTTAAAGTCAAGAATTCAAATAATATCAGTAGACTAAGCAAAGAATAAAAGTAGTTATAGTCCTTTACATAATATATTTTTATTTCCGAGAATTAAATTTTGTAGGATTTTGCCAATATCTCAATTTTTCTTAAAATATATATATATATATATATATATATATATTTGGGAAATTTAAAATGATTTTGAAAACCTGTTCGCATTTCAGGTGAATTAGATATATGTATGTGAGATATGGATGAAATTTAATTTATTTCAAACGTTCTCTAAATTTATTGAATGCCTAGAAGTTAATTGAGTAATTTCAAAGTCAAGAATACCTACAAAAGTATGGGAGCTGTTGTCAACACAGGAGATACTTGAAAGTATGAACGGGGACAGCCAAAATAAGTATACACGTATAATTTGTTACGTCTTTTCAGTTTTGACATTATTGTGTAAAAGAATGGTAGCGTTGAAGAATTTGCCATATCCTTACGGTATATTTCCATATTACTGCATCAGAATAAGATGGGAAAAAATTAAGACGGAGTAATAATGATTTATAAGTATATGATGCGTAAATTAAAAACTGGAGTAGTCTATTATTTAAAGCCGAATTGTATTTACCATATCATGAACATAATTAAGTCAATTTAATAAATTAATCAATTTAAAATTTTTCCATGACTAATATTAAAAAATTTCATGTATTTATGCTTTTGCATTGCTACTGTAAGTAAGAAAGTTTCACTAGATATTACCACTTCTTACAAACTGATTTAATAGGCTATCTAAGTTGACTTAAGTAGCGCACAGATCAGAATTACATGCGGTCAAATTTTGCTTCTATTCAGTTTCCGACAGCGTGGGATACTCATAACCATCACGGCAACCACCACAACAAATTTAACTTTTTTAGAGATACGTATGGTCACGGTAGGCGTACGGTTGCCGATTGGGGTCGCTTAGGCTTCTGTCTAATGGATCACAAAGATTCAGATTTGCAGGTATTGTATTTAAGAAGCAATTATTAGTTATTTGCTTGTAAATCTCGTATAAATCTTTAGTTTGCATTATTAGTAAGATTTAGACACTTTATTGGTATTTTAACGATTGTTTATTGATTTTGTATTTTGCTTATTATATATTTTAGATTTATTCACAGTATTCTACAAGCCTAGCCGGAGCTCTTTATCATGTAAAATGCCCCCAACCAGTAATGCCAGTACATTATTTTCATCGTCAAGGCCAAATAGACTATCCTCGGTCCTTTTCTCGTCTTTTTAAAGATTTGGGAATCAGTAGTCTAATCAAAGACCCCGTTTTGAGTGAACCAGCATGTTCCGCCTATATATGTTCTAAATTCATTTCCATCCTTAAGAAGAATTTAACAAATTTGCCATTTCATCCTGAGGAAAAAGTGAAAAGTCGGCTAATGGAATCAGAAACTACGAAAAAGTTTCTGAAATCAGTCGAAGATTCAGCTGAGGAAGCTCTTGAAGAAAAATGTTCGGAAGAAAGCGTATCACGATTTCTGGGAATAATGGCCGATGCTGGTAACTTGGGGAATCAATCTTCCAAACGAACAGTTGGAAGAAAATCTCTAAGATCTAGCACACAACCAAAACCCAAACTCCCTTTCACAGAAACTATGTCCGCTATCTTTGATATTCCACAATATGGTGAGAAATCGATCTTGCGTTTAATGGATAATTTGTTTGGATGCTCGGCTGAACCCTCAGAACCCTCTCGTCTTTCTTCTGCTCTGGATCCCTTCATAATGTCCCTTTCTGCTCGACCAGTTAACCCGGTTTACCTTGGTTCTGGATGTTTGCAATTAATTGGTGATGCAAATCCCGTATTGATTTGGTCTCCCACTGTCTCACGCTCTAATTTGGTCTCCTCTGTTCCCCGGATTTTTATCGCCCCATTTTCAGACGATGCTTCATTTCCCCTTTCTTCAGAAGCTTATGCTGAATTTGAATTACCTGATTCATTTAGAGGATCTGCTGCCTGCGAAATTGCAGCTGTACAGGTAAATTGTTTCGTTTCTTTGTTGATTTGTTTTCCACGGTCAACGCGTGTACCTGCAAAGTTAGTGATTGATTTTCATCGAAGTGCAACTTCTAATCAACCTTGTTAGCATGCATTCTTCAAGAGAAGCTAACTAATATCATTTTGTGGGTTAGGAAGTTAGGTACTTATATGCTTGTTTTTTTTCATTTTTCCTGTTTTGGTAGAAAATTGAACTGTGGTAATGGAAACTGATATTCAAAGATTTCGGTTTGAAATATTAAACTTTAAAATTTCAAGTGCATTAATGACCTTCGGTGCATTAAATTCGATTGTAGCTGAAGGTTTTGGAAATTTTACACTGGATTTCGGTTTTCTGAGCACAGTTTCGTGTTGTCGTTGCTCCGTAATAGAAAACCTACACTTGAAAAGTCGAAAATTTAAAAGATTGCCTAAGTGACCTAAATCATGCACTCTTCAATCTCTTCTTTCAATGGCTTGTATGCACTAGTAGGCTATTTTAAGATGACCTCAATTTCTCTCTTTTCAGCTAAGTGATACCAGTTTCTATTCAGTCGTTCGAACAACTGATGGAGGAGTAATCAACAGTCGGGTTGATTTCAACTCTCCTTGTGAAAGTGAAGCGTCCTTTAGCATTTCCAAGATACGACACATCAACTCCCCGCCTGGGAATAGTTTTGGTTACAGACCAACCTCGGTGGCTATTGGTCCTTGGCGAATTCATCGAAATTACTCGAGCGTGCGATCTCTAGAATATGCTCTGGCTGGACGAATTTATGATCCCAGCTACCATTCCACATCTCATTTAGCTGTTATCGATCAGTTTGATGCTATTAATAATAAGGTATTTTGGAGTACACGAGTTCCACTTGATTGTGAAGGTACGTGAAAATGGCCCCTTTACTCTCCTTCTGCAAAGCCAGATTTCATGATTTTGATATTATTATTTAGAAATTGAGCAGAATGACTAATGCTATTTACTAATAAAGGGTTGTCGATTCGAGTTTCTCACAGATGTGTCTCTTTGCTGCGTCACCTCTGCACCCTTTTCTAAACGTGTGTTTATAAGTTAAAGATCACTGGACACATCTTGTTAGCAAAATATCACCATGAAAGTTAAAGTTGTTTAGAACCTGATAGAATGCACTTTTCTTATTCCAAGCTCTAAGCTTTTACTCCTGTCTAGAATGAGCAAATCAATGACCTGTTATAGAAATTCTAGCTTAATGATCTTAGGCTGAGAATACAGCTTCTATTTAGTTTTAGGACTGGATGGTCAACGTAGATTTTCCTGCGAGTTTCTGATTGTAGAAGTCATGTGGACCGGCTTAATATATTAAAAAAAAACAAGTTCACTTCTTCCCGTTGGTGGAACAGCTCGAAGGTGGTCAGAGAAGGATTTCAAATCGTTTGTACAGTCAAACTCGCAAATTTTTAAATTGGTGCTATGAGAATTTGAGTAAAGACCAATCGGAAAAGTTAATGCAGAGTAATTTATCTTCATTTTGCTTAAATTGGCCCAATTTAGGAAGATGGACAAGCCGCAACTAATCTGTAATTGTGGTAGTTACTAACTGTGCCGATAGCAGTATCAATTTTTTATCAAAAAAAGTTGGTCAATATATATTATTTGAATAAGTTTAACGAATTATCAACATGGCTTTATATGCTTTATTAGGGTTGTGTGTTTGATTTTCTATTTTTATGGCTTTGCTGCTCATTTACGTTGAATTGTTCCACAACCGCCTCTGTCTACGCCCTCTCTCGTGTTGTTTGAGCATTAAATAACAATTCTTAAATGATTGTCTCTGTCGTTAAATGGTTATCCAATTGACTTATTCGAATCCCCATTGTAGGTGAATGTATTACTCATCATATGACTAATTCAGCGGCCGCCTCAAGCAGTAATTTTGCATTTAATAACCTCGGAGAATACGAATCTGAGAAGAATTCCTATCCAAGCCTCTGTCTCTCTGATAGTCTTCTCGCTTATTGCAATCAAATGGAACAACCGGGAAATGATGAAAAGAGCCGCCTTATTCCGAGGGAAGTTCTCCTCCGAACAGAATTAGATCTTCAGCTGAGTCACGTTTCCTCTTGGGTTCGTGTTAGTTTCGCTGACGCCCCTGGAATGTTCTCTCTAACCACACCAAAACGACTACTTCATTTTGACTCCCGGGTTCCAGATAGGCCTGTTCAGGAGTTGTTTAATCTCACCAAAAAGACGGTCGACTTGCTTGGGGGTCGGTTATTTAATCCGCACGAGACCTTTTTCCATGCCCAACCGCAGTGGTATAATGACACGTACGCCCTACTACCAACCGATTATAGTGTTCTAGTCGTGGATAAACGAATGCCGAATCATACAGTGTTGAAGTGGTCTCATGCTCTTCGAGGACCTCCGACATATGCCAATTTTGTGGATATGGAGAAACTCGATAGTTTCCCTGCTCAGGCAAGGTTATTTTATTAATCCAAATTTTAAGTAACTAATTAATCGTAGTTATTCTACCTGAGGAAACCGATGTGTGCCTTCAAGTTTACACTTATTGAAGGGAGATGCGGTTGCATTTGGTTTTTTAAATCAATTTTTCTCTAAGACTATGACTAAAGATATTTAACAGCATTCTTGCCATTTTACGTTTATTATTTATTTGAGGCTGTTAAGTTAGTGATGTCCACTAGTTCTATTGAATAATTTCGAAATAGTTTCCTTTAACCTAGAGTTATTTACAGGCAACTTAATAGATCTGGGTAGTTTAAAGACCATGGTTTTTTGTTGTGGTGCTTCACTGACTTCTATTTCAAGATTTTATTAGTCAAACTAATATTGAGTAGCCTCTATATTGGACCTTGAATAACTTCACAACTTTTGTCATCTTTTTTGTAGGCATTAATTCTATTTAATTGAAATAAGCAACACGTCTTATTATTACAATACAAATATATACATTCGACATAAGCTTATAGGTATCCTCAAGCTAAGCATCAAGTTGATTTCAAATTTGATTACTATCTGGCCTTGGTATTATTTCTGACTTATGCCATCACTTACCTATTAGGTATAAGCATTCTCTGGTATTTATAGACGGCTCTTGTGATGGCCTCTCAATTTCCCGGAGAAATCTCGATAACAGGGATAAACTTCAATCTAGATCAAGATCTTCCACCCCAGGGAGTCGGTCCTTCAATGACTCATGGCCACCTGACCAATCTCCTCGATTGTCCCCTGAATCGAATTCCCGGCGGTTCAGTGGACTCACACATTTGTGATGAACGACTCAATGGGGGCATAATTGGATGTACCACCAGAGTTCTCGCCGACAAAGCGATTACAGGCATTATTTTAACCACTCAAGGAGACTTATTCACTGAAGACTGGTACTTCAACAAAATAGACGCTCGAAACAGTCATAGGGAACGTTCTAACAGGATCCGTTCATGGTGCATGGATTTCCAGAGCTGTGAGAAACAACCTCAGACTCAAATTGTTGACTGTCCTAAGGAAAAGCACCAACCTAGCAATAAAACTAAAAAAGTGCCGAAAAGTGTAGATGAAGACAGGAATCCAGGAAATGAGGAGGACGTTACTCAGGAGTTTGATAATGGGACTTCTGAGTTAATGGCAAAATTGCTTGAATCGGCCCGTGAAAAGTTCACTTTTTGTGCGTCAACAGAAGGTAGAGAAAATGAGGATAGGACATTTGAAACATACTTAATGGATAATTTTGAGGGTGGCGTGGCGGAGCTATACCCCAGAGACTATTTGCCTTATTTTGGTTACCATGATGACTATTGCGAAGATCGTGAGGGGAATGATGATGATGATAATGCTGATGGTGATTATGATGACGACGATTCAGATGAATAAGTCTTAATCCCCTTCCACCCCTCGATCAAAATCGCGTCTGTGATTAAAGTGTGAAGATTTATTTATGTGCAAAACTATTTTCTTCTTCAAAATTATTTTTATTAATATTTTCTTTGTTAATCTTCGTCATCCCTAACAAAGGGTATTCCTGGAATAAAAATATTGGATGAAAATCAAATTAACTCTTTTACCGTCTAATTTCTTGATTTTTGGTAGTTTTTTCATGGCATCGTCTCTGAAAGTTTCAGGGTTGTTTTCTTCAAGCGGATTACCTAGGAATGTGTTAGGTAGAATATAACCCTATTACCAACAAAGACTAAGTCCGCTAGAGATGGAAGGTCGTTCAGTCTAAGGAGTTCTACCCAATCTTTGACTTTATTATTTGACATGTAGAGAACTCGCAGCTTCTTAAGGGAGCTAAGTCCTTTAAGCTTTTCTATAAGGTTATAAGAAATCCACAATTCTTCAAGCGTCTCTCCGAGAGGTTCTAAACCGGATATGGTTTTAATGTTGTTTCTCGCTAAGGAAAGTATTCTAAGGTGCTCTAAATGTTATATAATGGACAAGTCATTATGTTACTTAAGGTATTTAGATTTGATATCTTATCGATAGCATTTGTGGATAATGATAGTTTCCTAAACGATAATTATTTTGAACGTGTACAATTACTCGCATTTCGTTAGTAAAGAGAGACCTGCATCCATTTTCTCAATTGGTGGAAACTGTGCATATAATTTAACCTCTTTTGCTTCACTAGCTTTTTGGCCTGTTCTTGCCTCCCAGTTAGAGATGGCGACTTTAATTGTTGTAGCTTTAGCCTATTATATTATTTTCTCATTAACATAGTCTTACCATTTCAAAATAACGGTGATGTGTATCTGTAAGACAAAAAACTTAATTTGATTTATTATAACAAACATTATTAATACGAAAATGTTTTGACAATTATAAGCGCAGGAGACATTATATTAAAATTTTAAGATAAGATAAATATATTCAGAGGCACTTACTTAATGTGAAATAATCAATGCTGTATATTTAGGCATAGAAGGAATATATATATATATATATAAAATGGTATTAATTAAAAAACATTATTTATGTAAGCCATCGGCAGTATTAGACAGTGAATTTGGTGACTTTAGGATATTTCAATTCTTCACTGTGCCAAATGTCAAATAGCATTGTTCTTTTTTATAGAAAGCTGAAAGAGCTTAGCATTGTAATTTTGTTACTAATAGTTGGCATTTTTATACAAATAAGACGGACATAATATCATGCACTTCAGAAACACTTCGAATAATGCAATTTACTCGATTTAAAATGTATTCTCCAATCGTGGATGACAGATATTCCAAGACAGATTATCTTGCTTCCATATCAAAATATAAAAGTTTTGTAGTGCTCGTTTATTCTTTCTAAAATATTCATTTTTCTGGGATATATGCTCTCATTTGTATTAGTAGAATATCTGGCAGCAGCGAACTCAAACGTATTCAAACCAGTCAATCGATTTACACTGACCTCCCCGAGACGCGTTGACGCCTCGCCATTATCCGGTCTAAACCTATGCACGCGTATTCTGTTGTTCTTAAGCTAATAAATTACATTAGCAACTCAGTGTAAATTTACCTCCAATATTGCACGACTATGTTCACATGAACGATATTTCTCACCTCTTCAGTTTTTTCTGCCCTCAGAATAACCCTCAAAACAACGGTTTCTTTTTCTCCTCTCATGTATCTGTAGTCAAGCTTGATAGAAGACAGAAAAATAATCAGATTAATAGATAACGAGAATTAGAATCTTTAAGATTTCCGACGAAATTCCGAAATTGTATTCTTCTTTAACTACTTAAATAGTTAACGGGAAGACCTTATACTGATCTATTCTTAACAATTTAAATTATCAATCACATAAAGGCCTCATTCTAATTTATTAAAAGCATAATCAAATTTATACTACAGCAAAATTTGCCATTCATATGAATCATCATAATTGATTAAAACAGATGATATCGGCGTGAACACAGTCTCATCTGTTTTTAACAGCATTAATCTTGTTATATAAAACAAGATATAAAAAATGAGCAACAAGAGATCAAATTCTCGTAGAATTACTGAACAAAGCGAAAATGCCCACGAATTGGAGTCCCACAGAGCTGTACAAAATGCATTGTCGAAACTCGCCGATGCAGATCGTAGACTTCTGGAAGCAAGAAGGCATTTTAAAGTAAGGCTGTGGTTCATTTTATTCCTCCCATATGTTGTTAAACCGATCTTAGAAGGATGGACATTTTCGAATTTACTTCATCATTGGTTTAAGAACTATTTGCAATTAAGTAAACATACAGATTTAAATGCTATCGGCTATGGGATGATTTTTATTTTGTATTATAGTTGCAGTCCAAGAATATTTTGTCCCTTTTAGGTATTACGATATTAGTGTACATTTTATAACCTATGTCGCTTCATTTCAAGTTTTACAAAACCAGAATGGCTCTTCAAAACATATTTAACATTTAGCAACAGAGAATTAAATCAATTGTATCGTTTAATTCTTCTTTATGAAAATTGTATTAAATTAATAATATAACAGACTAAAGGACAAGGTATACGAGGTAGGAAAACAATAGTGGTCTTTAGAGAACAGATTGACCTGGTGATCAAGATGACTGAGAATTATTCATCCGTGGGTTAATTTGGATGGTTATTCGTGCAGAATAGTACTTTATTGATTGATTTTGGTAGTAGAGCTCATTCGATTCCGCTCATGGCGAACTTCAGTAACTTTAACATTAGATCGATGCATTTATTAGTAACAAACAATTCGCTTTTAGATATTGACGCATTGTGTAAATTGGGACAAAATATAACTTTGCAGGATGGAATTTACCCATTCATTAATTTGTTAAGTTTGAACAAATACTCCTTATGGGAGGTAGATTAGCTAGGTTTTCATTCCCATTTATTATCGCAATTATTCGAAAACACTAATTTTGATACAACTGTCAATCAACACCTGGTAAAGAACAAAAGGGATTTACTAGAACAAACCCACTTCATTACAAAACTTCAATCGTCCTTGAGGCAAGTAATATTGCGAAGAAGTCATCTCAACGTTGTCTACACATAAATTGGGTTTGTATACTTTGTGAGACGTCAGTCGTTTCTAGTGGTCGATAACTCATATTTTGATAATGGGCTTAGATGGTATTTTCGAGATCTGGTCTTCTCTGATCATCATTTATTGGTTTATATCCGCTGACAAGGGTAAGATAAACAATTGCAAGTAAAATTTGAACTAACAAAGAAGGAACTATTTGAAACTTGAAAAGATGCAATATTACGAGGGATTCATAAGAACACACTTAATCTAGTTGCAATTTTTTTGTAAAGAAACAAGCCATGGAAAACAAGAAGAAACGCCAAGATATAGCAGTGATGCAGAGAGAGAGAGGGAGAGAGAGAGAGTTCTGCGATCAAGTGAAACGTTTTGAGGGTTTCATCCTCGAGAATGAGGCCAAAGAGGAACGCACTGATGAAAAATTCTTCGAAGAACTGAAACTGAAAGAAGAAGATGTGAAGGAATTCGAAAAGCTGAAACAACAATACACAGAAATTATACCCAAGTAATTTGGCATTTTATTCATAGTTGCCTCATTGATAGCACCTGTAATTAATTAAGTTGGGAGGTGATTTTCCTCCTTCAGACTTGGGGACATGGAAGAGAAGGTGGACAAATATAGCATCTGTGAATCTTACCTCCTGCAAATTGCCAGCCTACTGCCACCAGGTTAATGCTACTTGCATATTTAAGTAGTGTCTTAAGGCGAGGGAAGGGGAGAAACTGATTACTGAATTCGTTCTTCTTCATTTAGACTATATTAAAATGGCAGATGACGCCCCTATGGGAATTATAATGAGGTATAACACTCTCGCCGATACCTACAGGTCTCTTTTAGATGAGATGAAAGCAAAATCTGCTCAAGTAAGTAAGTCGTTGAATTAATTATTGTTTTGAAGTTCAACGAAGGATTGCAAGTGTCGATATAAGTATAGATGTTTTTGCTTAAACTACACTTCGAGTATAGACCTACTCACAACAGTAAGATAGTACTGTGCTATTTCTTCCATAGGCATATATTTACCAGTTGGCTATCAGGTTGACTTACTGATTAACGGCATTATTTCTGAGTGTATTAAGAAAATACACTTCAGTGTAATGTTCTCAAGGTTGATCATTTTCAAGTTTCGCAATAGGCAGACATTGAGGAGCAGGAGTGATGGACAAGCAGTGTAAAGGCCGAGGGGTGAGTGGGAATCAATGAAGGAGATTAGAAAGTGACTGTGAACAAGTGTCAACACGATCACTAGCTAAAGTAAATTGTTGTCAACGGAAGCATCCCTTGTTCTCATTATACAACATGCATGAAATCATGCACTCTTCACAAATGGCCTAGATTCAGGGCCATCAACTTCGATGTTCATTTAACATTTATGTGGGGGATGGGAATAATTAGTCACAAGGAGTTATTTCGATCACACTCAACTCTGATAAAACAATGTTGAAAAGAATTTAGAACCACTTTTAGATTCGAGATCTCAATTCTCAGCTACAGTCTCTACGCGAAGAGCACGCCAATCGGGTCTTGACTGTCAATTCCAGATTGGCCGACCTTTACAAAGAGCATGCGATAAATGATGAAATTGTTCAACAGAGCAACCAAAATTTCTACCAGGATATCAAGCAAATACGAAACGGGGTTAGTTGAAAAGGGTCTTTGGTTATAACTTTCAATTGGTCACATTTGAGTTTAAAATGGCAGTTAAGGTTTTTTTCGTTGATAAAATTTACTTACTTTTGTGTTTTATTATTGAAAAGCACAACTAAAGTTCCTTATATTTAGCGAAAGAGTTGATTACATTAAGTAATCGTAAAAGAGATGAGAAAATATCAGACAAAGAACGGTGAAATGAAGAGATTTTTGCAAATTTAAGAAAATTAACTTTGAGTGCGGTTTTTTTAAAGACAAAACCTTAAGCGATCAAAGCGTATCAAATTGTTACCTTTCCATAATTGAAACATATAAATCGTATTCGGAAATATTTCGAGGAATTTTCACGAGTTCTTATTTTAGATGGAATTATTCGGAACAGTGATCCGGTCAATCTACAATCTTGTGGGCAAATGTAGATGGCCATATACATGGAATTCAAAGGAAGAGGATACGTTAAGCGTGAAGCTAAATCGAATAGAGGTAGGAAATTGCTATCAAACTGTAAACTAATGCGATTTGCGAAAGTGTACAGGGCATTAGACAGATAGAAACTACATTGGGCATTTCCTTCTTCTAGGAATATATTAATACAATGAGAATGATTCTTGCAGAATTGAACGAAAATGAGGACGAATGGGGGATCAAAAACCCCACTCCATTCACCACAACAGACAAAGAAGTGGATGTTACTAGACAATGAGAAATAAATTAAGGAAAAAGAAAAATACACATGTTTTATTTGAAAAGCTCTCGTAAAATATCTGGTTATTAAAGTTTCTCAATAAATACAAGTAAGGATTGTAAGAATTTGAAAAGGTCTTATATACAAATGCTCACACTCATATATATATATATATATATATATATATATATATGTGTGTGTGTGTGTGTGTGTGTGTGTGTATGTGTGTGTGTGTGTGTGCGTGTGTGTGTGTGTGTGTAACACACTAAAACATTGTTTGAATTTGGAAAGGTCTTATATATAAATATGCACGCACACCCACTGGATCATTGAAGGTATATGAGCTCAAAATTTAATTTGATAAATTGAAAATATTATAATTCTGTCGATGTCTTATTTAATGTTTATGTATGACTTATTTTGAGAGAAAAATAAATTTAGTTTTTCTCGACTCAAAAACCACTTGTTAGTGAGAAGCGGGTTGAGTTATCTCATTAATGGGTTGGATGACTCAGTATGATAGCGTTGTGAGTGGACCTTTGAAACTTAAAACGGAGGCGAAAATCGCCAAACTGAAGAAGCATCGCAAAGAAGATGGCAGCGCAAGTCGTCTCAGCTGATAAGGAGCCCGTT